AATAATACCATTTATAATAACATCAGAGAAAAAATACTTAGGAGAAAATTTAACCATGGAGGTGAAATATCTGTGTACTGAAGCTATGAAACATTGATGAAAAAAATTGAAGACACAAATAAATATAAAGATATCCCATGTGCATGGATTAAAATTCAAACACCATTAAATGTACACATTACCCAAAACTATCTACATATTTAACATAATCTCTGTCAAAATTCTAATATTATTCACAGAAACTTTTAAAAAGTCCTAAAGTTTTTATGAAATCAGGAAAGATCAAGACAGAAAAAATTACCCAAAACAATCTTGACTAAGCTATTGCAATCAAAGGAGCATGGTACTGCCACAAAAATAGACATGTCGACCAATGGAACAAGATTAAAGCCCTCAAATAAACCCAAGTATGTACAGTCAATTGATTTTCAACAAAGTTGCCAAGAACGCACAATGGGAAAAGCACAGTCTTTTCAATACATGATGCTGAAAAAACTGGATATCCTCATATGAAGAATAAACTTGGGCCCTGATCTCATACCTTATACAAAAATCAACTCAAAATGGATTAAAGACTTAAAATATAAGACCCCAAACTATAAACTACTAAAAGAAAATTTTTAAAATGACCCTCACCAACATTAGTCTGGACAATAATTTCTTGGCTAGGACTTCAAAAGCACAGACAGCAAAACCCAAAATAGACAAATGGAATGGTATCAAACTAAAAGGCTTCTGCACTGCAAAAACAATAAATGATTTTTAATTAAAAGTTAATAACATAAAAGACAGGGCACAGTTTGTGAGAAAATATTTGCAAACCATACATCTGATAAGGGACTAATATCCAAAATATATAAGAAGAATGTGGAGTTGGAGCAAGATGGCTGAATAGAACCCTCCAGTGATCACCCCCATCTCCCCACAGAAACATCAAATTGAACTATCCATACGAGAAAGCACCTTTATAAGAATCAAATATAAGATGAGTAATCACCATACCTGATTTTAACATCAGGTCAAGAAAAGTGGCACTGAAGAGAGTAGGAAAGACAGTCTTGAATTGCCTACATCACCTTTACCATTATGTAATGGCTTTCTTTGTCTCTTTTGATCTTTGATGGTTTAAAGTCTGTTTTGTTAGAGACTAAGATTGCAACCCCTGCTTTTTTTTTGTTCTCCATTTGCTTGGTAGATCTTCCTCCATCCCTTTATTTTGAGTCTATGTATGTCTCTGCATGTGAGATGGGTCTCCTGAATACAGCAGACTGATGGGTCTTGACTTTTTATCCAGTTTGCCAGTCTATGTCTTTTAATTGGAGCATTTAGTCCATTTACATTTAAGGTTAATATCATTATGTGTGAACTTGATCCTGCCATTATGATATTAACTGGTTATTTTGCTCGTTAGTTGATGCAGTTTCTTTCTAGCCTTGATGGTCTTTACATTTTGGCATGTTTTTGGAATGGCTGGTACCGGTTGTTCCTTTCCATGTTTAGTGCTTCCTTCAGG